ACCCATGTCCTGCCGGCATCTTGCTCCATCTGTCCATCTCGCTTTGGCTCTTCCTCTCTTCCAATCTGCAGCCACAACAATGTTCACCCGCATTCTTTGTGACTTACTTGCTGGGGTACACACCTGTGCGTGTGTACAGCACTCTGCGCGCGCGTCAGCTGCGCGTGTGAACGTCCGCAAGAACCGATACGGCGATATTGTCGCGTATGTCGACCCATCATCGTGTTGTGGTCCCCATGCTACTCTGCTGATGTACACATGTTCATTGGCTTCCCATCTGTACTTGCAGAACTCCTTTCTACACTCAGGCAGATCCATCCAGCCATGCAGTCAGCCACTCACTTGCACACATGCACACATATGCACATGCACACACACAGGTATGATCACACGCGCGTGACTGTTGATGCGGCCATGAACGAAGCCAACTCGGATTACATCAACGCCAATTTCATCAGCGGCTACAAACGTCCCCGGGCCTACATTGCATGCCAAGGGTACGCCCATGCCAGCACGCACCACCGGACCACGCTGCTCTCGTTCGCAAGCTGCCTTGTGTCCTTGCGCTTACAGCGTGAACGCGTGTGTATTCATAGTGCTGCGTCTCATCCATTCCCTGCTGTTTGTGCCACGTGCGTGATTTGTACATTGCACGCACGTGAGCAGCCCGCTTCCCAACACGGCACGCGATTTCTGGCAGATGGTGTGGGAGCAGGACTCTGCGCTGATTGTGATGGTCGCGTGCCTGGTCGAGAAGAACCGCCCCAAGTGCTTCAAATATTGGCCCAGCCGACAGGACGGCGTTCAGGTTTGAGCGCTCACACATGCACACACAGGAGTTTCTGATGTGCTCGATTGCTTGCATGTGCGCATTGGGGGGGGGGGGGGTTGTTGCGGTGGCAGAACCTCGCTTGCTGACACCTGCCCTCGCTCCTCACACTCGCGCTGTGCCATCACTTGCACTGCCGCGTTTTGTTGCAGGTGTTTGGGCAAGTGCAAGTATCACTCACTGCCGAGTCTGTTGGGCGCGACTTCACTCGAAGAGAATTCAAGCTCAAGAACGACGAGAAGGTGCGTGCATTGTGTGCATGCATGCGCGTTTGTGTATGCATGCGTGTTTGTTTATGCATGCGTGTGTGCGTGCGTGTGTGTGTGTGTGTGTGTGTGCTTGTGTTGTACGTGTGTGTGTGCGTATGTGGGTGTTTGCGTGTGTGCGTATGTGGGTGTTTGCGTTGGTATTTTGGTGTGGATTGCATGGTGAGCGCTCTCGTCTTTCACCAACGGTTGGCTGCAATTCATATTGCACTGTCCAACTCGCTTGTCTGTGCACGTGTTTGCTTGGCCATCTGTGAAGACGCGGCGGGTGACCCAGCTGCAAATGACGTCGTGGCCGGACCACGGCGCCCCCTCCAACCCGGCCGCTTTTCTTAACCTCCACTCTGTACGTCGTAGTTGTATGTGTGTTTGTGTGTGTGTTCTCTGTGCGTTCACGCTCTGCGCGCGTGCGTGTACACGCAATCTCTAGGTGCATTCACGCTCCGTGCCACTCACTTGTTCCCGCTCTCTGCGCCCCTCACTTGTTCCCGCCCAATATTTATTCTCTTGCACCATGTCATGACTGTCACTTGTTTCAGACATTCAACGGCATGCTTCGGCGCCATCGCTCCCGCGGTCCCGCTGTCATTCACTGCAGCGCCGGCGTTGGCCGTTCTGGTGCGTGTTTTCCTCAACCTCCTCACTGATGTGCATCACAAGCGTAATCACGCCCACAAACACCCGCGTACAAGCACACACAAGCACACACATGCACACACACATGTACTTCGTGCGTGCTCGTTGCACATGGTCTCCTCACGTGGCATGTGCCATTGTTGTCGTGGCGCACGCAGGAACATTCATCTGCATGGACATCCTGTATGAGATGGCGCTTGACGGGAAAGAGCCGCTCAGTACGTGCACATGCTCATGCTCATGCTCTCCTTTTTGTTGTTTGCCTGCTAGAATGCGCGCTGTCTTTGCTGTCCACGATGTGTGGTGTGTCGATTGCTGGTGATTGACCAACCATCACACCACGTCTCCATATCCCTCTCCTCCCTTCTTCCCCTTTCTTAATCTCCTCTGGCCTGCCAACACCCCTCCCTCATTTCAACACCAATCTGGCAGACATTCGCCACGTGATTTCCCGCCTGCGCGAGCAGCGAAACTTCATGGTGCAGTCGGTGGATCAGTTTCGCTTCCTCTACTCCGCTGTGCGCGAAATGCTGACTGCCCTCATTGCCATGGCCCGCACGACCCACAAGCAACAGCAGCAGCAGCAGTTGAAAGCGATTCCTGAGGGGCGCAGCCGTGAACCCACCGACCAGGGAGATGAGGATGAGGATGACATGGACGAGGTGATGATGTTCGGGTCTTGTACTGTGTTTGTGCGCTCGTGCGACACAGCAGAGCGGTTTGTGCGCCATCACCCAGCCGACTTCACGCGTCTGTGCAGCCACTTGAAACAAGATACGCTCATTTGCAAACTCGTACTCACGCATATGTATGAGCACTCACACTCACGCATACATACATGCGCCATGCTTTGGCTGTTTCACAACAGGATTTGCGCGCGTCGCCGCTGGACGGCCGACCGCACAATCTCGATGCGATGACGGATCAGGAGCAGATGGAGCTCGCGGTCGCCCTCTCGCTCAGTGAACTGGAGGTTGAACACTTGTTCGTGCTTGTATGTGTATGTGTGTATGTGAGTGGCGCGCGCGTGCCCGTGTGCGAGTTCCTCTGATTAGCTGCCTTTGCGTTCCGTCACACCGCACTTTCCCTGGTCTTCAACCCGTTCAGGCGCCACCAAGTCACGACCAGCCGTCGTACAACTCTCAGCCCTTCCGCTCGCAGACCCTCTCGCTTCCCGTCACGTTTGACATGCAGGTAAGCGAGCGATGTGCACTTGCATGCTTGTGTGTGTGTGTGTGTGTGTGTGTATCGTTCAGTGTGTCTTCTCCCTTGATCACGTGGGTGTGTTCGGCCACAGAGAGACAGACGAACTGACAGCGTGAAAGGACATGGACATGTACGCACACAGAAAGAAACCGTACAGTAGCTGCACACACACGCACATTCTCACGCTGGCCCCTTGCTTCCCCCACCATCATCAGTACATTGGATCGCAGAAAGTTCTCAAGGCGACGGGATCATCGGTCATCACTGCCGCCCTCAAGACCGTTGTGGTGCGCTGCTGTCCATGCATCCATGCACCCGTTGTGCATTGCACCAACGCATGGAGATGCTCAGATGTGGTTTCTTGTGTCGGCTAAGCAAGCCCATTCACCCTCGATATGCAACGACTGTGTGTGTGTGTGTGTGTGTGTGTGTGTGTGTGTTGGATACTTACACGTGTGTCGCACGTGCTTGTGCGCGCTCAGGATCGGACAAGAATTTCGCGCAAGCTCAAGTTTACAGTTCAAGTTGACGGCATTGGGTTGAAGGAGGCAGACAAGAAGAAAGGCGCTCTGTACAGCATGTCTCTCATCTCATGCTTTCAGGTCTGTTCAAAGTGGCTTGCGCGTGTGGTGTCTCGCTTTCTTGCTTTTCTTGGGCCCCCACTTTTTCCTTCTTCCAAGTTCTCCTTCCTTGCTACCTCTCCTCGAAGCCTTTGTTGCTGTCTGCGCTGCCATCACGCGTGCGAGCTCCCTTACATGAACACCTGTGGGCGATTTGCTTGCTGCCAGTGCGGCATGCTCCCACAACAGCTGCAGGCGCGCCCCTGTGCGGTGAAGCAAACGGCTTACCTCGTGTTCATCTCCTACGCACCGCGAAAACATGTGCACGTCGCACATGTCTTCCTCGCGCCCTCCATTGGTATGTCTGATTGACCTCAACAAAGCGAAATCAACCACGTGGCGTGTGTGTGTGTGTGTGTGTGTGTGTGTGTGTGTGTGTGTGTGTGTGTGTGTGTGTGTGTGTGCGCCTATGCATGTGTTCGTCTCAGGCTTCATTCTCTTCCTGTGGTATCCTGCAGATGATGTGGATGAGGTGAACATGTACATTGCGCATGCAATGGAGGTTGCGCACGCGACTCGGCCTTCCTCGTCACCGCCAGCTCGCGCCCCTGCCAAAAGCAAGAACCCCTTTGCACACGCAAGGTGAGAACACCTCCATGCGAAGCCCTGATGTTCCCCACACTGCAACAACCACCGTCGTAGAGTTGTCCATCTGTCTGTCAAGGTGTGCGTGGGCGTGTGCGTGTGCGTCTCTCTCTCTCTCTCTCCCTCTGTCTCTCTCTGTCTGTCCTTTAGGGTGCGTTTGCGCACGTGCATGCTTGTTCAGTACCTTCACGTGTATTTTGATTTCGATTGGATCGCAGGGGCGCAAGTGCGGCGTCCTCGTCCACTAAGTCGCGACCAGCGCAGGGCAGGGTAGACGCCCAGATCGAGCACCAGACCGCCGACGAGCTGCTGGAGGACTTGGGTGATGATGATGATGACGACGACGACGACGATGTTGGTGGTCATGACCAGCGTGAGTGGGCATGATTCCGTTTGCATTCGTGGATGGCGCCAACACCCCTGCCTTGCGCTGCCTTGTTTTACCTTGTTTGCTCGCTCGCTTCATGCTTTTCATCCATCGCCTTCCCTGTCCTATGGGGGTTGAGCTTCACTCTCCTTTGCGTTCGTTTCACGACATGCAGTTGATTTCGTCTCTGCGCTTTGGGTGTTGCCCCTGCTGCTCCTCCCCAGTTCCCCATTGCTGCTGCTGCTTCCGTGTTATCATCGTGGTTGAGTTTTGCGCAGCTGTCTTCTTCTCGTGACTTGCGTTTATTCGAGCAGTGAACAAAAACAAGGGCTGAATCTCACACAAAAGTGTGCGGGCTGGCGATGGCGTGCGTATGTAAACTCAGGCGGAGCCGCTGTTGAAGAGGGGTGGGGCGGGGAGGTGGAGAGAGCAACACAAGCAGAATGGCACGGAATGTCCAAAGGAATGGCGCAGATACACAGCACTGGCAACAGCACAGCGTCAAGAAGAACAACATGCAACAGACAAACAGAAAATGAGGTCGTAGGGGAAAAAAAGCACAACAAGCAAGGGGCACGAAGCGAGACAAAAGTGGCGGTAACGGTGCATGTATCTGATCGTGGCAAGGCCTTTGCACAACAATCACCACCATCAGCCCCATGCATGCTGTAGGTGCTTGTGCTGTGGCATGACTGGGGGAGTTGGGGGGGGGGGCAAAACAGATGCTGCATTTTATGCCTCGGAGAGCTCCTCCACGTAGTTGCCCGGGAACAGGCCCTCCTTTCCACGCAGGCGTCCCTGCCACCAGCCAGAAGGATCTACGTCCCAAAGCAACCGTGGGTTGTTCTGTGAGCAAGCGCATCCGCCAGCCTTCACACACACACACACACACACATACACACACACAGTCTCTCACTCTCACTCTCACTCACACTCACACAATTTCTCTCTCTCTCTCTCTCACACACACACACATTCACACACACACATTTTTCTCTCTCTCACATTCACAAACTTTCACAAACGTCCACACACGCACACACCTTTGCGGACGATGGAGACAGTTTCGTTGAAGCGGATGGTGAGCTCGTCTGCGTCCTGCGCGTCGTAATCGTACAGCACCCGCGCCTGTGGCAGTTTCGGCTTTGGTGGTGGCGGCTTGCGCCGGCCCTTGCCCGGTGGTGGTGGCGCCTTCTTCTTGACTGCAACGTTGTGTCAATTAAACACGACAGACGCAACAAAAGGCATCATGAGTGGGTGGCGAGACACATTGACAAGAACGGACGAGACGGTACGTTCGGCTCGAGCAAGTTGTGCAAATAACGCATACGTTCCTTCCACTCAACTCACCCTTGCGTTGGGCCTGAGCTTGCACTGGTTGTTGGTAAGCCTGCTGTGGTTGCTGCTGCTGCTGCTGGTAGTTGTACTGCTGCTGCTGTGGTTGGCGCTGCTGCATGGGCGCCCGTTGCTGTTGCGGCTGGCGCATGTGCGACACACCGCCGCCGCGACCGGCAAAGTGGTGCGACCCGGGAGCTGCAAGACGCAAGCAAATGAAGTTGCCGAGAGGAGGTACGGGTTGCCAGCATCAGCATATGGGTGAGCCATGTACGACAACGACAGGGAATTTCACACAGGCAAGAACACAACCCCAAGAACACACACGCACGCACACGCACGCACACGCACGCACACAGACACACACTCATGCGCGACACACTTGAGTCTGCGGGGAGACCGCGGGGAGAGTAGACGAGGAGCTTCTTGCCACTCGGCTTCACCAGCCAGTGCTGGCCTTCCATAAACTCAATCTCGCGCGAGCCACCGCCGCCCCAGCCCTCCTTCTTCAGCTGGAAGGTGAGCCGGTCGCTGAAGTGCGTCTGCAGCTTCCGCCCAGTCGCAGCCTCGTACTTCTCGGCGAGCAGGGTCAGGAACTCTGTCTTGAACACCATCTCCATGGGCGTGTCGTACTCGGACGGCACGTGCAGAATCACAAAATCGTCCTGCTTGGTGCTGTTGAGAGGAGGAGAAGGAGGAGGAGGAGGAGGAGGAGGAGGAGGAGGAGGAGGAGGAGGAGGAGGAGGAGGAGCAGTTTTAAAATATAGGGCGAAATGTGGAAAGGAAGTGATGCAATGCTGTCGCCGGAAGGGTGCATGGATGATGACGATGATGATGGGCACAAAGTACCACACAACACACACAAAAAGTCAAAAGCTGACGGTTGACACCACGCGTACTTGAAACAAACAAGCATATTCACACACACACACACACACACACACACACACACACACACACACACACACACACACCTGAGGGAGACGCTGCCGATGTTTGTCATTTCGATGTGGCGCTTGACAACCTCGAGCACCTCGCCCTTGTTCGGGCCCTTCTTCTGCTTCTCGCGGCCAATGATGTAGATGGCCTTGGCCGTCAGCAGCAGGTCGCGCTTCTGCGGGCGGAACCGGCGGTCGTACTTGACAACCGTGTACGCAAACTCAACGCGCTCCTTCTTGCCAACTGTGCAACCAAGGGTTTGCGGCGGCAGGGGGGGGGGAGGGAACAAAGTGATAAAGTGAGGAAATGTGAGCGTCAGGCAAAGGTCAACCACCTGGGCAACAACAGTGATATTGTGATTGGAGGGGACGCATACATGCATACACATGCGCACACACACGCACGTATACACACTATCACACACAATCACACAGGTCACCAATCATCGCACGTACCGAGGGCGCGAAGTGACGGGTTGTCGCCGTAGCCAATGTAATCGCCAACAAAGTTGCGGTTGATGGTGCCATACCGCCGCTGCTTCTTGTGCATCAGGATGTCAGACGCCTGTCGTGCCACGTGTTGGAAGGAATGCATGGGATGTGTTAAGGTGAAAACAGTGCTAGGCAAGAGGAACTGGGTGTTTGCAGTGCACAGGGATGACCGACACTCAGGCACGAAATGCCTGCTTGCAATGGCGATTGATACTTGTGACACATCAACACAGACACACACACAGACAGACAGGCACACACATACACAGAGGCACACACAGAGGCACAGAGGCACACACACAGGCAGGCACACAGACACACACACACACGAAACAAGGGCACGCGAGCGACCTTCTGCTTGAGCTCCTCGTAGTACTGCTGGGCCTTCCAGCGGCGGTAGGTCGTCTGGATCTTGCGCGCATACGCGTCAAACTTGCGCTCGCGAACCTCCTCCAGCAGGAACAGCGACTCGGGGTTCTTGATGAAGACCTTGGACACACCGAGCTGCCACTGGTCACGGTCCATCGCAACAGAGTCCATCAGGTGGTGGATGCCTGCAATGACGGTGATGGTGATGGTGATGGGGCGTGGGAGCAGGTTTAGGCGTGTGTCGTGCATGCGGAGTCGTGTGTGTGTGTGTGTGTGTGTCGTGCATGAGGAGTCGTGTGTGTGCGTGCGTGTGTGTGTGTGTGTGTGTGTGTGTGTGTGTGTGTGTGTGCGTGCTTGAAGATGACATCCAGGTTGCGTGGGCGTGTGATCGTGGTGGTTGTGCAACAGTGTGCCTGTGCAGTGAAAGTGCTGATCACAGCAAAGAGGGCAAGTCATGCATCATACATCAAGCATTATATCAAGCATCACATCACGCACCTTGCTTCGGGTCGCCGTGCCAGCGCGGGAACGTCTCCTTTGTGAGGATGGCGTAGCGGGTGAGGAACTTCTCAAACTCGCGACGGTACGCGAACCCGGCGCGGCGCACGCGAATGTTCTCCTGCAGACCCAGGTACCGCACCTGGTGACCGTGGTTGAGGTGGTGGTGGATAGACGTGTGAGTGTTGGGGAGAGCAGCGTCTGTGCGCAGCCAATGGGGGAGACATCAGGGGGTGAAGGAAGAGCGTGTAAACCAGGAGCAACAAGTGTGGTAGCGTGAGATGTACCTGATGAAGGCAGCGGCTGCGGTCCCAGTCGTGGGCTTTCTTCGTCTCGTTCGGCTTGATGCAGCGAATGTAATGCGGTGCACACTGCATCAGCTTGTCAACCAGCAGGTTTGCTTGTGTCTGTATCGTTGCAGATTCAGCAAACACGCGTTGACGGACAATGTGAGAGAAGTGGGAAACAGCCACATGGGAAGGACAGGGCACACACGAGTGTGTCGCGAGTCTCCTTGGTTATTGACAACCCAACACATGCACCCCACTCACGCAACAATAACAAGACGACGGACCACACCCACACCCACACAAACCCACACAAACCCACACACACACACACACACACACACACACACACACACACACACACACACACAAGCGCACCCTGATCTTTCCGCCAGCGGTGGCCTGCTTCTTCTTGCGCCCGTGCTTGTCCGTCGGGTTTGGATCGTCGGGGAACAGCGCAACAATGAAACCACTACACATGGGCACAGGATGCATGTTCGTCAGAACGTGCTTTGTCGGGCATGCACATGAGCACATGCACACAAATGTGTGTATGTCTGCGCTTTCATCAAACAGCATGGCCATAACGCGCGTGTGGGTGATTGTTGCAAGGGTGTCAGTGACTCACTCCGTGGAGGACTGGATGAGCTGTAGGAGATCCGGCAGGATGAAGTCGCGGTTGCGCTCGCTGATGTCATCATCATCATCATCATCATTATCATCATCATCATATCACAAACAGATGTAGGCGTACACGATGTGAGCAGCTGCAAAACGAAACGAGAATCGTAGGTGCTGCGTGGGCGATGACGCGCGCACAAACACACACACACACATACATACATACACTCAAGGACGTATTTGCACACGCTCAAGCAAATGCACAAGCACGGTGACGCACACACACATGTGCGGGCACGCAGGCGCTTACCAGAAGCCGTGCTGCTCTCGTCCATGCTCGTGCGCGAGCGGGGCGGTTTCGCCGGTGAAGCTGTGGAGATGTCATCACGCGACATGAGGAGTTGGAGTGAGTGCTGGGAGATGGGCGAAAGAGGGTGGTCAAGTTGCCACGCACGCCAACAAGAACAACAACAACAACAGCAGCACCAGCACCAGCACCACATGGTGACAAGCAATGTGACGAAAGGGTGCGGGTGAGACCTGTTGAAGTGCTGGTGGGTTCCGACGGCACCGATGAGCTTCTCCAGCAGCTTCGAGTCGGCGCCATCCGTCTGCACACCAGAAGAGTCAGCAGTGGGGAGAGGATGCAACGGGTTGTTGAGTAAAGGAAGATCGGGATGAGGGAGAAAGGGAGGCTTGCGGTGCTCTTGCAGGGTGCTTTGAGAGCCAACGAGCTAAGCACGAGACATGCGCTCGTGCCGAGGACATGTGCACACACGCAAGCATCTGCATGCGCACAAAACCAAACACGTCTGCAGGAAGGGGTACCTGGGCGTGGAGGGTAGCGCAAACATCGTCAAGGACACACATGATGCCTGGTGGACGCTTCTCTTCAACGAGATCGCACACAATCTTGTTGTTGAAGAACTCAATTGGCTTCCACGAAATGCCCTCGCGCACATACTCCTCTTGCTCCGCCTGCAGTCACACCGAACACGTGCGTGTGCGCGTGTGTGCGTGTGTGTGTGTGTTTGTGTGTGAGTTCACGCGCACGTGATGCGATGGATTTGAATGGAATCGATGGAAGCAGGAGGATGCCGTAGGTGGATGACACATGCGCTTGTGACATGTACGTGCGCGGCGCCCGGCACCTTGAGTGTGAGCTCGATGAAGATTTGCTGCAGCTTCTCGTTGACAAAGTTGATGCAAAACTGCTCAAATCTGTTGGCGGGTGCCAAGCAACCGCAGACAGAGAGCAGAGGTGAGGTGGAAGCAGCGGCAAGGCGAACGCATGCGATGCAAAGTCAGCAAACAGCAACAGAACGCACGAATGAAACAGATGAACGTCGAGAACACGCATGCACGTGGAGCGAGCACAAACTCCCCGATGCCAACAAGTGCACGCACCCATTGTTGTTGAAGATCTCAAAGCCGTAAATGTCCAGCACGCCAATGCTGAGCTCCACCTTCTCCTTGGCCATTGCCTGCAAGCATGCAGCAAACAAGACGCGTTGTACGTGCGAGATGAGGTCATGAATGGAATCACCACAGTGAAAGGCATCGTGCTTGGTTATTGCGTTTTGTTTGGGTGCAGCTGGACTTCCAAGCCTGCTCTTGCTACAGCAAGCACGAATCAACTATGCGGTTGCCTGCAGGCACGCAGCATGGCGCCCAAACATGTTCCCGCATGCGTCAAATTGAACGTACGGCGTTGACGGAGTTGACGAGGTAGTCGAAGAGGCGGGCGTACAGCGCCTTTGCAAGCGCATCGCGCGTGTACGCAGCCTGATGCAAGCATGGCCACGAGCACGGCGGCAAAGTTGGTGTTAGAGCACGGACACGTGGTGTCGACGGAAACGAAGTGAGCGCGGGCAGAGCGAGCCGGAGTACTTGCCGCCTTGCACACGCGCAACACAGCCCACAACATACAGGTCTCGTGCCTTCTTCCTCCCCCTTCCTCTCTTGCGCCGCTGTGCGCTCAGAAGCCTCTCGTACCTGTTCGACGGTGAGGGTGACGGTTGTGGTTTCTGTCTTGCCGCCCCACCTGCTCTCCATGATGCGGGTGAGGAGCTTGGCCTTGAGCAGGCCGACGTCCACGCCGAGGAGATAGGCCGGGAACTCAAGGAAGCTGTCGTCCGCCACCTGGGGGCACACACACACACACACACGCACACGCGCGCATACGTGGAGGCGGTGAGAATGCAACAAGACAGTCGCAAACAGTGCAACGCCAAAGGAGAAACGAAACAAAACGGAAAGCATGTGTGTTGCAATCATACAGTGTGTGTTGGAAGCGTCTGCAACTACGTTGCGATCACACACACACACACACACACACACACACACACACACACACACACACACACACACACACAGCGGTACGCCCCCTGCAGTACCTGGGCGTAGTTTCCGCTCTCAACAAAGGTGATGTTGCCGAGGTGCAGGATGGACGCGACGACCTTCAGCACCTCCCACTGCACACCGGAACATCCACAGTCAGGGAGGGGAGGAGGGGAAGGGAGCGAAACAACAGAATACAGCAAATTCCCAGTGAGACAAGCACACATCACACAGCACCGTAAGCGCGCGCACACAAACACACACACACACACATCAAACACGGTGGTGCACTCTCTCGCGTACAGCAAGCAACCATGTGCGTGTACATGACCAGGTGACCACGTACCTGGTAGTCGTCGGAGATGTTCATGACAGCCATGGCGCGCTGCGTCTCGTTGAAGTCGGCCACGTCGTCGATGCCGGGCACCCGGTCGCACCCAGACTGAGGTGTGCACACAGGCATGGGTGGAGTTGGAAGCGCAACAGCTGTGAGCTCGCATTGATTGATACAACCCAGGCACGCACACACTAACACACACATGTACGCACGCACACACTAACACACACATGCGCGTACACACACACACACACAAGCACGTACAACAGCACGAGCGTCGCCAGCGACCAGTGCTGAGGAAGCGGACCTGGTTGAGGTAGTTGTAGTAGTCTGGGGAGCTGATGCCGAGGTTTTGGCGATGGTGCTCCGAGGCGCCGGCACACAGCTGGTAGAAGATGTGGAAGTTGCGTTCCTCCGGGTTTTGCGACACAACGCGCGACTTCTCAAGCAGGAAGTTGGAGATCTGTGTGCGTGCGTGTGTGCGTGTGTATGCGTGTGTGTTCATTGTAAGTGCGTGTGTTCATTGTGAGCGGTGTTGGGCTTGGAAAAGACGATGATGCTGGAGGCTGTGTACAGCGGTTGCACAGCCGACAAAGCAGTTGCAGGCGGAGAGCGAGCAGTGCCAGCACGAGCATGCATATGAGTCGCCCACACCTTGCCGCCATCGGGCTGGCCTGCGCGGCTGAACTGGATCTCAATGTACTTGCCCTGCAAGCACACGCGCATGCACAAGGCAGACATCCATGAGCAGAGGGAACAGGGGCCTCGCAGACAACAGCTGAAGCTCGAACACCGAAACAATAAGAATCAAACACGCAAACATATAAACACGCACAAACACACCAACAAACGCACACACACACATACACGGGCGCACAAGCGCAGGATATCAGTGTTTGTTTGTGGACGTACAAAGCGGGAGGAGTTGTTGTTGCGGACGGTCTTTGCGTTGCCAAACGCCTCGAGGAGCGGGTTCGACTCGAGAATGACGTCTTTCACCCGCTGGATATCGGCGCCGCCGCCAGAGACCTTGGCAAGGTACCCCATGATGAACTTGGCCGCAACCGTCTTGCCCGCGCCACTCTCGCCACTGCCCCAAAGCCATACGTTTGTGGTACGATGAGTGAGTGAGTGTGCGCGCGCGCGCGCGCGTGTGTGTGTGTGTGTTGGTTTATGTGAGCGGGCGGGCGCAAGCACAGGATCCAAAGCAATAAATGCCATGCGCGCCTTGTATTTGGAAAGCAAGGGCAAAGACATAGCCCGTGCACACGGGTGGATTCAACGTACGCACCTGATGATGACGCATTGGTTCTCGCTGTCAATGAGCATGTTTCTGTAGCAGTCATCCGTCAGCGCGTACACGTGCGGCGGGTTCTCGTAGATGGCCTGTGGGCAGGGTCAATGGGGACCGCAGGGCATGGCGAATGAATGGTGAGTGGCTGGCTATATGGTCGGTGGCTGCGACAGAAAGACAACGATCGGGGACAGAGGGGGATGCACTGCCACCTGCAAGGAAACATAGTGCGTTTGCGTACAGCCAGCGAGGTTGCAACAGTTTGTGGTATCAACAACTTACGGCGCCTTGGTACATTTCAACCTCCTTGTCCGTGAAGTAAGGCATCTGCTTGAATGGGTTGACGGAGATGAGCACAGGGCCTGCCGTGGGAAACGCGTGCAGCGTACAGGGAAAGGGGCGAGGGATTGCGGATGGAGTGAGTTGCACGGACAGAAGACTGTCATTGAAAGAACAACACCAGCAGGTCAGCGAGGAGATGACTTGGCCATCCACCACAAGGGCTTGGTTACCCATGGCGATGGATGGTGACAAAGAACAATGTCGCAGAGACATGCACAACACAACAAATGGTGCTGTACGCACCGATGTAAGTGTAGATGAGGTCGTCCATGTAGCGCTTCTTGAGGTTGTCACAGATGGCGTCTTCGTTGATCTTGGAGATAAGGACCATGTCCTCGACGCCAGAGCTGGCCTGTTTCGTCTTGCTTTGCCAGTGGGGTGGCTACACGCACGCAAAGAAGGGGGGGCATGCATGTTTATGCGGTGGCGTGTGTGTAGAGTTGCTCACATGAGCATACCGTTGGTGATTTTCGTGTTCGTGTGTGTGTGTGTGTGTGTGTGTGTGTGTGTGTGTGTGTGTGTGTGTGTGTGTGTGTGTGTGTGTGTGTGTGTGTGTTGTTGTTGTTGTTTGTTTTGTTTGTTGTTTGGATGCGTGCATGTAGGAGCGACGGGAACCACACAAGGACAGGCATTGACGTGCACACGCACAAAGACAACCAAACAACTCACAACAAACTCGTACACAAACGACACACCTCTGTGTGTGTGTGTGTGCACGTCAACAGCCACAACGGTGAGCGACGCATAAATACAGACACGTACACACACGCACACACGCGCGCACACACACACGAGCAGCCTTACCATGGCTGGTTGTTGTTTGGGTGCTTAAACTCCCGACGCTGGGGTTGGTGTTGGACTTGCTTCTGTGTGCTTTGCTTTGCTTGGCTTGGTTTGCAGGGAAAGTCAGCCAGCACTTGGCTGTTGTTGGTAGCTAATTCCAGCGGCGAAGGACAGTCCCCTTTCTTGACAGGAAGGAAGGGAGCACAATGACAAACAACAACAACAACACAGACGCGCTGCGTGTGGTTTGTGTGGTTGTGTGTGTGGATTGCTCGCAGACGCGTGTGTGAGAGTGAGTAGCGGCGAACAAAAAAAAAAAAACAAACCACAACAACAGCTTGGACCCACGAAGAAGTCAGAGTAAAAATTAGGAGGTCGTTGGTTCAAGTCCTCGTGATGACATGAAATGTCCCGTGTCTTTTTTTTTATGTCTCTGCGTTGTTGCACTCCACGGCTGGCACCAAGAAGCAAGCAAGCAAAGCAAGCGACGATGGTGGAGATTGACAGGACACGGCTGCTGACGAGCCTGATGGCTGCTGGGCTGTCATCCATCATGTTCTACTTGCTGATGCGGGTGCTGTACAAGCAGATGGACCCCTCGCACAAGCGATCCCAGGAAGCGAAACAAGCAGCCAACAAAGCCCTCAGGCGCCTGAAATCAAGTGTGTTGTGTGTGCGTGTGCGTGTGTGTGTGTGTGCGTGTGTTGTGTTGTGTGTGTGTGTGTGTGCGCGCGCGCGCGTGTGTGTGTGCGTGTGTGTTGTGTGTGCGTGTACGTGTGTGTGTGCGTGTGTTGTGTTGTGTGTGTGTGTGCGCGCGCGTGTGTTGTGTGTGTGTGTGTGTGTGTGTGTGTGTGT